TCCCCGTCGGCCACCTCCCATTTCCCGACAGTTTCACAGGATTAGGGCTTTCCCTCTCTCTCGGCGGCCTTCTGCAATGTCTGGCCACGTGTCCCCTCTCTCCACAATGGAAGCAAGTAAAGTTTTTAGTATTATCTGGTTTCCTTGCAATAACTGGGTTAGCTCTCATCTCCTTTTTTTCATTGTTATAACATTTACTGCTCATATGTCCCATTTTCCCACGCGAACTGCACCTGCTTGGGCCGGTTCCCTCATACTTATACCTATCCTGCTTCGATACGATGGCGCTTTCCTCCACGAGTGCTGTTTCTGCTATCTTGTCGAAGTCCCTATAATTCCTACTTCGGACTATAGTTTGGATCCGGTCCGAGTGCAAGCCTTGCACGAAGCAGATATTTCTTAACCTGTCGGATAAATCAAGTATCCCTTCCCATGCCCTTCTGTACTATTTAGCAGGGCGGGTTCACAAAACTGTGAACCCAGTGTCTGAATCCTTTGGATCCATTCCGACACACTCTCGTCTTTGCCTTGTTTCGACCTGAAGAGTTGGCTCGCATGGAAGTCAAGCGTTCTCTTTTCGACATACGAGTTTTTCAAAAATTCCTTTAATTCCGACCAATCCTCAAGATTTCGGTGTATTATAGACGTTCTCGGTTCCCCACTAATGCGCGTCAAGACGAACTTATACAGTGTGTCTGCCTGGTCAGGGTTTATTACGGAAAAAGCTGTATCCACATTCGCTATGAAAGCCACAACTTCGTTCTTATTCCCCTTGAAATGAGGTATCAATTTTAGTGCCTCGCCTAAACTTATATACTCCTCGGCCATGGTGCCTCGACTACGGGTTTCTGCAATCGGGGTACTGGAGCTACTGGGCGTGACTGGCATGGAAATTGAGCAAAAACTCACCGTTACGCGATCAGCCCACTGCACTGGTTCCTGTCCGCTCCGATGTCTCGTTCCGACAGCCCGTTCCAATGACTCGTTCCGATGACTCATTCTGTTGACTCGTTCTGATGCCTCATTCTATTGACTCGTCCTGATGACTCGTTCTGATGCCTCATTCTGATGCCTCCCTCTGATTGTAGCTCTCTAGATCAGTGCCACTCTTGCAGTTTCACAGTTGCAGTTCCGCGACCTCAGTTTTAGCGTTTCTCTTGCAGCTTCACGCTCCCTCCGTGCACTCACTCGAATCAACCCCAAGACCCCACATCTGACACCAGAAAGTTTATGTTGTATCCTGAAGTTCCTCGCTGGATGCCCGGCGCTGGCGTATCGTGGATGTT